GATGGGAAAAGCACCCTTTCTCACCCATTTAACATTGTGGCTGTGAACAGCGTAGACTTTCCCGTGGGGCAGGGGAAGGTAGTAGATGGCGTGGGAAAATCCCACAGTGGGCCCGCCCTCATCTTCCCCCTTTTTTTATTTCTCTCTTTTTGAAAAACAGGTCCTTTTGGCCCGGCAATGAGGCCCAGGATCTGATTCAACATTTTTGTGGCAGACATTGATTGGACATTCGGCAGGGATTCTATTTTCGGACTTCGCTATCGCGATCTTGTTCTTCTCAGTCACCTCCATCTTCGTCTCGCCCCTCCCCCCATCTCTCATCTGTGGTATCTCCCCCATGTGTGTGTGCAAGGAGGGACCTTTCTTCTGTGTATGTGTTCCCTCCTCCCTCTCTCACATGTGTGGTGTGTGATGGGATGTCGCGTCAGTCTCTGATAGGTCAGGTCGTATCTTTGAGTCTTCCGYTGCGCTACATTGTGCTATTTTTTGTATGTATCTGGATGTACATTGCTTGTGGATGCTTTGCTGGCATTGCATTGTCCATTCAAGTCCTTTTCATCACTCTGCGGATCCTTGGCTCCCCATACATTGCTCGACTGAGCATGTATCAGTTGGTATTGGAGCTACCGCTAGTGAATCAGGACATACCTGACCTGGCATGCGAAGTAGAGGATCGATTGACTGATTGATTGATTGAATTGATTGATTGATTGATTGATTGATTGATTGATTGATTGATTGATCGATTGATTAGGTTACCCTAATTAGTCCCCATTTGCGATTAAGGACGGAACTGCCAATTCCGAGAAAAAAAAATTGTTCGGAATTCTCTCTTCAGCACAGAATTGTCTTTTCAAAATTTCGTAAAATCCGAAACTGCGCAGTAGCTGAAAATTTTGATCCTTCTCTTCTCTGAATGTCGAAAATTCGGTGCTTGACAATCTGTGGAAGGGAAGGAATGCTGTGATCAAAGCAGAAAAAGAAAAGAGAAGGATTTTTTTGGAGTTCTTTCTCCTGCACAAAATTTGTGTTCCATAAAATCTGAACTCACGCATTCGCGGCATTCCGATTTTTTTTAACATTTTTGGAATTTGTCAATTCGTTTTTGTGCAGTTGCATTTTTTCCTATGCTGGGCCGTCGCCCAGCCCGGCACGTCCGGGCCAGTTGAGGGGGGGTCGCCCGACAAAACCAGACTGGTCAAAAAAGAGGCAAGGATTCCCCCAAAAAACAAAAAGACTTCAGGCCAGGCTTGCGCTTGACCTACGCAGTCAGAGTCAGGTCTGAACTTCGGTTTTGGCGATGGGTCATCCAGGGGGGGGCGGGGGGTATAAACAATGACTAAAGGGCTTAAAAGGGTACATTTGGACTCATTTTTTCTCATTTATTTTTATCTTGAAACTAACAAGGAATTTCGAGGTGGCCATCAGCCAAAAGTTGTTCATACTGCAATTTTAGACAACATATTTTGTTTTTGGATTTTTGTGATTTTTTTTTCTATTTTTTAAAATATTATGCGCTGAGATCGCCCAGGACCCTGCCCGGGCCCTGCCTGGTCCGGGCCGCCTGGGAGGGTACCCGGGCAACCTTCCCCCAGCCGGGCCGCCCGGGGACTAACACAGGTTTTTTCGAAAATTCCGAGTCAAGCAGTGCAAGGAAAATGAGCAATAGCGAGATGACAGAATTCAGATATACACGATCACATCGAAAGCTAGAAAGTCTGAGTGTCCAGAAAGCAGTATTGCACCAATGTTACACCAAAGGAGAATCGAAACACTGAAACCGAATGTCAATGAGAGCTTACTCCTGTCATCACCAACATCAGCGTCCAGGCCCTTTCCCCTACTTCACGCCCGGCGCCCAGACTACTCCCCAACACAGCTACTATCTGCGCATGAATTGACAATGCAACTGTTGACGTCAGCAGCCACCGAAGTACATGAAGATGTCACCCTATGCAGACCATCGCCAATACCAGGTATGAGCCCTCACATCATCATCCTCATCTCTCTCTGTCTCTGTCTCCCTCATCTTTCTTCCTTGTCTTCCCCCTGTACACCCGAAGACCACCATTGCGCCTTGCTGTATGTCCAAGCCCAACCAGCTATGAAAACTGGGCTATGGCGCTGCCCTCAGCAGCGCCCTTCTTCACACACGACCACACTTGCACAGCACCTTGCCCCAGCGCTAGCAGCAGCACGCGAGCAATCGTTCCAGCAGCGCTGCCGCAAACTAGCAAGTGCCCGAATGTGCTGCCAGGCAGCGAGCTCTTCCTATACGGAAAGTCTGGACTGGCTTACCGCATATATGAAATTGACAGTATTCGGCCTCTCGTGATTTGTTATCCCCGCCTTCACTTAGGGCGGGCACACTTGCATAAGGGGCCCCTCAGGCCTGCCGAGGAGCCACATCCTTGCATTACCTCCTCCTTTACTTCGATAGTCCTCTGAGAAGTCCCTTAATCTGCAGGCAACTTTTCCTTGAGTGCTCTTTCGTAGTCTGCAATCACTTGGGGAGCTGTTTGCTGGAGTTCTTCTCTGGTGAACCACCGATCTTCACTGGGATCAGTATGGTGTCTGAATTTGACACGGTACTGCATCCTTGTCTTTGGAGGTCGTCTTCTGCCGGGAGGTTTGGGCGCTGGCATCACCCGATGCTCCACAATTTCGTCGATGTCAACTTCGCCATCCATGGTTGGGGGGCAGCATTGATCGTCGGGAAGGGTACTGGGCTGTCTCTGCAAAAGGTGCCAGTTTGGAACCGTGAAAGACTGGGTGTGTGCGTAGATGAGCAGGGATGCGAATTACATAGGAAGGTCCGTCTATCTGATCCCCTACTATGTCCACGACCTCCCAGGGACCGAAATACAGAGGCATTAGTTTTCGTGAGATTCCCAACTCTTGGCCCAGTTCAGATGACTTGCCCCATACTCTCCTACCTGAAACTGAGACGACCGTCCATGTTTGTTCTGAGATGCCACCATAGCATTTTGAGCTTTCTTAATGTGTTCTACAGCCTGTTGCAGCATCTGTTCATACTTGACAGCTAACTCTATGCTGCTAGGTGCTGCAGATGGCTGAGTTTTGGGTAGTAGCAAATCCAAGGCGGATATTGGATTCCAACCAAGATGCAGTTGGTTGGGAGTCATATTAGTAGTGCTATGCACAGCGGTTTTGTACAGGCTGGAGACGAGAGGCAATTTCTTGTCCCAATCATCGTAACTTGGCTTGATGTAATGCCGTAGCAGGTGTTGCACTACTCGGTTCATCTGTTCCGCCTGGCCATTTGACTCAGGGTGATTTCCTGATGTCATTTGCACAAGTCGTAGCAGGTGTTGCACTACTCAGTTCATCTGTTCCGCCTGGCCATTTGACTCAGGGTGATTTCCTGATGTCATTTGCAGTCGGGTGCCCATCTGCTGGGCAGTATTTTGCCACAGCTCGCTAGTGAAGCGAACATCCCTATCACTAACAATGGATTTGGGTAAACCAAAGTCCCGTACCCAGTTATCCATAAACAGCTTGATAACAATCAGTTTTTGCTGTTTTTGGCATAGCGATTAGTCTAGCATACTTGGAAAACCGGTCCACTATAACGAAGATGTCTCTTTCCGCTCTTGCTGGTCACTAAGGTATCCATGAAGTCCATGGACATACTTTGAGCGGGCCTTCAGGGATTGGCAAGGGCTTGATGAGCTCAAGCGGAGCCTGACTCCTAGGTTGGTCCCGTTGGCAAACCTGGCAAGTTTCAACGTACTTCTTTGCATCTTGCATCATAGAAGGCCACCAGAATCTCTGCACTAGATAAGATGATGTCTTTTTATAACCGAAATGTCGAGCTGCATCATGACACTCGCCTAAAAATAAACTACGCAAAGCCTCCCTATCTGGAACACAATCTTTTATTCCCAACCTTCTCAAGAAACAACAAGCCATTGACCACCGTAAATTCGCTAGAAGTTCTTTTATCTTTCACTTCTAACTTACGGATGATTTTTGATATAACTGCATCTTCCCGATAGGCTTCCACCAAAGATCGAGTTACATTGTCAGATATACCAAACTCAGTTATTAGCGCCCCCAGATAGTCTGCCCTTCGCGATAGTGCAAGAGCCACCTTATTGTATTCTCCCTTTAGAGGGTCAAGCTTGAAGTCGTACATGTCTATGACTTCAATCCACCTTTTCAAGGCATCTAAAAGTACAGGCTGTGTCTTGATCCCACGCAAGGTCTCATGGTCAGATATCACATAGAAGAATCTGCCTAGGAGGTAGTGCCTCCAATGGACTAGAGCTCTATAGAGGGCATAGAGCTCTCGCTCGTACGTGGACTGACCTACTTTTTGAGATAGCATCTTTTTGCTCATGTACTCGATGGGCCTCAACCTTTTCCTCTCCTGCGCAAGGTCCGTGCCTATGCCATATTGGTTGGCGTCTGTGGTCACTACAAAGGGCTGATTAGGATCCGGAAGGACCACGCAAGGGTTGACCCTATGCCATATTGGTTGGCGTCTGTGGTCACTACAAAGGGCTGATTAGGATCTGGAAGTTTGAGGACTTCATAGTGTATTAGGACATACCTCAATTTCGTGAAGCCTGCCTCACACCTTTTGGTCCACTTGCAAGGGGTGTCAAGGTGGGTTAGGTCGGTTATTAGGGAAACTACAGTACTATAGTTTTCGACTATCGGACGATAGTAGCCAGTCATCCCCATAAACGATCGGGCCTCAGTAACAGTCTGAGGTCTGGCCACTTCGGCATCGCCTGGCCTCAACCCGTCCGTGGAAATCTCATGACCCAGGTACAAGATCTTGGTGCGACCAAACTCACATTTCTCCAAGTTAACCTTGTAGTGGTGCTGTCTTAGGAGACCTATCACTGTTTTCACGTGCTTAACGTGCTCCTCTATGGTCTTACTAAAGATAAGAATATCGTCGAGGTACATGACAACGAACTTGTCCAAGTACTCCTGAAAGATCCGGTTCATTGCATGTTGGAATGTCCCAGGAGCATTGCATAGGCCAAAAGGCATCACCACAAACTCGTACAGACCGTACCTGGTTTGGAATGCAGTTTTGTGCTGGTCGTTTGGTCTAATGGCAATCCGATGGTAGACTTCAGATCTATCTTTTTGAAGTATCGACATCCCTGCACTCTATCCAAGAGGTCGTCGATGTGGGGTAGGGGCTCCACGTTTTTTACAGTGATGGCATTGAGGGTCCTATAGTCAATGCACATCCTTAAGGTACCTCCCTTCTTAGGAACGAATAGGACTGATGCACCATAAGGGGAGGTACTAGGCCGAATCCATCCCTTGTCTGGCGGCGGAGCTCATCCAACTCCACAGGAGACATCCTATAGATCTGTCCTCCAGGTACCTTGCGATCTGGGACGACTTCTATCGCATGGACCACCTCCCTTTCTACCACGCCAGTGGGCTCCTCAAAAAGGTCTGGATATTGAGCAACGACTGCTTCTATCTCTGGGGGTGATTTTACGACCTCCCCTTTCTCAGAGACAAAGATTAGGTACATGCCCTCCTCACGATTCTGCTTATAATAGTTATAGAAATAAGATGCACACATGCAGCCATAGTTCTCCACTAGATTGCTAGCTTTAAATTTCTGCAGTCTAGTGGTTCTTCCATTAGGCAACCTGTGGATCATCACCTTCCTATCCCAATGGAATTGAGGTTGAGCAACTTTGAGGTAGTACATGCCTAGTAGCATGTCTAATGACAACTTGTCACTAACGCAATTCCCCTCCATAGGAAAAGGTGCAAACTACGTCCTTAACATAGTCTTGGACAACCATACTGTGCTTGTTGGCTAGCGTAGATGCTACAAATCTGCTTAACTGCTGCAGTTGGTCCCCTAAGCGCAGTCTATCCACACAAGCAAGAGTGATGAAATTCTTTTAGAGCCTATGTCTGCAAAGGAGCCCACTTTGCGGCCACCTACATCAACCTGTACCACAAAATGTTCACCCCTAGGACCTTTGCTGATCATCGCCCAAGAGTCTCTAGGGTCCTTACCTGACCACTCAGTTTGTAACTCTTCTAAGGATTCGGACACATCTCTCGAACAAAGCATTTGTGGGTTTGAATGTGTCTGCGGGGCGATAACTGGGTCAATAGCCTTGGCCAATGCTTGAAGTGGTGAAGGCAAGGTTACCACTTCAACTAACACTCCTACTGGCCCGAGGTGTTTCCCTGTGAAGTGCTCGCAGAAGCACCGCCGGGGTTCGAAGATAATCCTATCACTGTAGGAGAGGCTATCTTCGGTGTGACCTTTTTGCCTCGGCAAGTCTTGGACGTATGGCCATAGTTGCCACAATTAATACAAGTGCCCCTAGCAACTTGGTCCCTTCACACCTCGTATTCTAACCAAAGTTTTGCCGATGCGGGTGTTCCTTGGCCGCCTTGACCCTTGGACCCACCTACCTTCTGCTTCCCGGTCCTCGTAGCCTTTTCTTTGATTGGAGCTATGACTCCCCCATCCGAAGTCTCACTAGCCCCATCCTTCTCTGTGTCTTCCCCGTAGTGAGGGAAGTCGTCAATCTCCGTCGTCTGATCATCATTGTCGACGAACATGAGATTGCCCTTCTTCCTCCAGTCTGGCTTCTTCTTCCTACCATCTCCTGGTCGTTGATGAGTGGTCCCAACTTAGCCTCTATATCTAAGGCTTTCTTGCTGAAAGTAGCGAAGTTCTGCACAGCGATGGAGGCCTCGTCCACCAACTTATTCTTTACATCTGTAGGCACACATCTCAGATAAGTTGTGAGGAGTAACCGAGGGTCATATCGCACACCAGGCACCACGATCAAACGCTCTATGGCATCCATGACTTCACACACTGTCCAGTACCGTTTGGAACCTAGACTGAACTGTGCGTCAGTGGCCTTTTGAGCCCCTCGAGGGCCATGCCACCTATTGTGCACAGTCCGTACGAAGTCTTCTAATATATGGGCCCGGGCCCAGGCATCGAAGTTCTGACCATAGCCCTGTTGTTGCACTAGACCATTTAGCCATTCGTGCTGTAGAGCCCTCTAAAAAGGAAGCAGCAACTGTAACTTCCTACTCTAACCTGGTAAGCTTGTGCCTCACATAAGTAGGCACAGTCCTCACCTAGGTGTCAAGGTCCTCTTCCTTCTTCTTGTCGCCAGAGAAGAGTTTAGGACTCAGCAAGGGGATCTTGGGCATCCACTGCATGGGTTGGATTGGCCCCGGTGATTGCTGCAGTGGTTGCATAGCTGCATGCTAACCCGAGCCTGCCCTGATGATGGGACTGTAGCTGCCACTGTCATCGATGGTACGGGAGAAGTACTAAGAACCGGACCACTAACTGCTGCTAAACCGCCTGAAGGAGGCATGCCAAACATAGGGGAAAAAGAGGGCACTACAGGTGACGGTGTCACTAAGGGACTCGCAACCGAAGGGGGAGCTACGGAATACTAAGGCTGCATCATCATTGGACGAGGAGCCTGCAGTGCAGCCAGAATTCAGTTCTGGCCGGCCACTAGTTCAGCCAGCACTTCCTGCCGGACCACGTGCGTTTCTGCTGCGCAAAGAAGTGAGCGACGCAGCGCCTGCATTGCAGGATCCAGTGTTGACTCGTCCAATGTTTCTAGTTTTCCTAGCTCCTGCCTCCTACTTCCTAATCTAGTTTTCCTCAATATAGTTTTTTCTCTCCTCGCTGCTGCTTCTCTCAACTGCTGCTGCAACTCATTACGAAGGGCTTCGGCTTGGAGGATCTCATAATCGTCTGGCGTGAGAGGAGACTGCTGGCTGACTTGCGAGCCAACAGACTGACTAACGGGACGCTGCGGGACACCCTGACTAACACCTTACGAAGAGGCCTGGGACAAGGCCTACGACATAGAGGCGGTAGCCATTATGGCCTCAATGCTGGCTGCTGCTGCCCTGGACCTCATTAATGCCACCCTCTCCCTGGCTTCCTTCCGCAGCCTCCTTTCCTCTCCTGGACCTAACTCCTGGACAGTGATCAGTCGACTGAGAGCAGTTCTGCGGGTCACTCTAAGATCTTCCACTAATCGTTCCTCCTCACTACTAACTGCTTCACTCATGAGCTACAGTGGTGTGTGATCTAAACTATAATCCACACTGAATCCTACCTCAACATGACACCCAACCGAGTAATAATAGTCAACTAATTCGGTCAGCCTGGAGAAAAGTGGTAATCAGCACCTAATTTCAGGTCCTAAAGGTAACTCTATTTCTATTTTTAGATTACTCTAAAACAGAATGCAATGTAGCAAGGAAGGAACTATCCTATCTGCAGCTGTCTGTCAGTTGTCTCCAAGTCCATACAACTGCGAGGCTAAAAGCCTCGGAAAGCCCTATTGGGCCCTGTTTCAGCGAGAAAGGCCGCCCTAAGTGAAGGCAGGCCTGACAAGTGATGTGAGGCCTTGTTTATGTTTGTCGCGGCTGGGGGAAATTCAGGCAGTTGCGCAGCATCAGTTGGTTGAGTGAGCCCAGGCCCTGTGTTACGTGCCCTGTTGAGCGATGTTCATAATAAGCCGAGTATCCGCAATGTGATAAAAAGGACTGAATGGACAATTCAGTGCAAGTGAAATCTCAACAAGCAGTGTACATTCTGATACATACAAAAATGGTGCTTTATAGCGTAGTGGAAGACTTAGATACAAGTCCTGACCTGACCGGTACTGACCTGTATACCGTAGTGCAAGACAGTGCAGCAGAATGCTAGGATACCAACGACTAGCCCAATCAACGTTGCAACGCAGACCCAACATACATCATTCTCATCACAAGGTGTGAAGGGGGCCTGGCGCTATACACAGGAATAAGGCGCCAGGACCAGATCATGCACAGACGAAGAGGAGGGGAACAGACGAAGAAGAGGGTGAGAGATAGGTCTGTCGTCAACATCAAGTCTTTGTTACAAGTCCCAAATAATCCCTCGTCAAAATGTCTGAAGCCCAAATGTCAAGTCTGGATCCAAATGTCACCAAGCCCACTCTCTCATAGTCTGCTGATGCAGTGAAGTCAGGTAGCGAGAGGGTGAGAGGGAGATGGTGGACTGAGAAGAGGAAGAAGAAGAACTCGCTCTCTCATATGCCAGGTACTAACCTGTGATGATGGCGCTGTGCTGCAGGTACCTCGAAGGCGAAGCTGGAGCTATGGCGCTGCAGGTAAGTACCCCTGGCCTCCGCCCAACCTCTCTCTCTCTAGTACTACTCTAGCTCCTAAGAGCGCCCAGCGTGGAAGACTACTGCTAACGCTACTAGCGCCCAGCGCTGAAGTCTACTGCTAGCTTTACTAGTCCTGCAGTGCTCCTCCAGAGTGCTGCTGCCGAATCCTGAAGACTACCTCCTGCCTCCTGAACTGCACGTGTAGTGCCTGGGAAGTACCTAGGAACTACCTGCCGTCCTGCAGGGCGGGCCAGTCCTATATAGTGCTGGTCCATCCAGGAGGCTGCTCTTGCCAGTGCCGAAACATGCGAGACCCTGGCGTTGAAGCTCAACCAGGGGTTGTCGTGAAAACAGGCCTAAAATGGCTTGTGCTAAAACCCTGGTTTGATGCGTGAGTTTCAGGGCAGGTCGATCTGACGAGGGCCTGAAAATGGCCCTCAGTTTCAGGCTGATAACACTCAGGGCCGGAAAGGCCCTGATTAAGCCTGAAACGACACGGGGCTTGAGCCTGAAACGACATGGGGCTTGTAGGCCTTGTTTTCAGGCTTTCGGCCTGAAAACGTCACGGCCCTGAAAGGGGGCCCGTGCAGCCTGTTGCAGGTGCAGCATGTAACACCCCCCCTTCCTTATGAAGTCAAGCCGGGGCAAGGGCGAAGCTGACGATCTGAAGGTGGAACGTGGATGCGGGTGCGACGTAGAGCCGAACATACCGGCTTGCCTTGCATCTTGCGTTCGTAGCGCGCGAGAACATCCGGAGTTGTTGCTTGGAGTTCCACACGGGTGACCAACGGTCAACTTTGTGAGTGCAATATGCAAAGTGTACCAAGTACTCGGTTGGCTTGTTGCCGTAGCGTCGCTGGGAGATGATGTCGCCGATCTCTTGAAAACCGTCCATAGAGGGTGGGTCTTGTGATCGTCGCCCGGGAAAATCATCATGTTCTGCTGGCCTGTAAAGAGCGAACTTGGAGCAATGAAGGACCGGGTAGATGGGCAAGTGGGCGGGCACCTGAATGGTGAAAGGTCCTTTGGGTGCATCCCCAACGGGTGCCACGATTGGCCAAGGCTCCATCCATTTCGGGAGGAGCTTGTGAGAGATATCTTGTTCAAGGTTGAATTCCGCGGCGGAAACCCAAACGAGATCGCTGGCGCGGAATGGGCAAGGAAGACGTTGGCGATTGGCCTGTTGGCTAATGTGTTGCTCCGTCTTAGCCATCTGGTCGCATGCCTTGACAAGTAGCTTTTGCATCCGACGCAAGATTGGTCTGTTGGCTCATGTGTTTCTCCGTCTTAGCCATCTGGTCGCATGCCTTGACAAGTAGCTCTTGCATCCGACGCAAGAAAAGAAGATGGTCGCCGCTCTCGGCCGTTCGTGGAATGATTGTGTCCAATGGTGAAGTGACCGGCTAGCCGTGATCGAACTCGAAGGGCGACATCCCGATAGTCGGGTAGATGGACGAGTTGTATGCCAGCTCGACATCCGGCATCCGCTCAACCCAATCCTTTTGGTCAGGACGGATGAGAGTGCGAAGGAGAACCTGTGTGGTTTGATGCGTCCTCTCCGTTTGGCCATCGGTTTGGGGGTGGCAAGCCGAACTTGGCTTGAGAGATGAGCCCCATCATTTGATGAGCGCCAACCAAAAATCGGACATGAACCGAGTGTCGCGGTCGCAGACGATTTCCTTGGGGTAACGGTTGGTTCGAATCCAACCGGCGTAAAGAACCTCGGCCAACTCCGATGCCTTGGCATGATAGTGGCAAGGCAAAAACACGGCAAACTTAGTGAGTCGGTCGACCACTGTGAGAATCCCATCCACACCGGTATTGTGCTTGGGGAACGACCCGATAATGTCTATGGCAATCGCTTCCCTTCGGCGCAAGGGGACCGTTAACGGTCACAACTCATCATACGGACGATGGTTGCAGAATTTGCAGCGTCGGCAAACCTCGTATGACTCGCAATAGCGTGTGACGTCGTCGAGAAGGCTCGGACCACCAAAGTCGCTCAGGAAGTCGGTCAATCGTGCGATTGACTCCAAAGTGTCCAGTGGCGGGAGCATCGTGGAACTCGCCAAGAAGTCGTGTACGCAAGTGAGAGTCACTCGGTACGCAAAGAAGGTCCTTCCCCCGCGTGTGGACAAGCAAGTACCCCTCTTGGACGCCGGATTAGGAGAGGAGCAATTTGCGTAATTGTCGCGAAACTCGGGGTCGGCTTGGTAGCCGCGGATGAAGTTGTCCCGCAAGTCATCGCCGATCTCGAAGGTCGAGTAGACGGCAGTACGATGATCCGGACACCGTGAAAGAGCATCCGCAAAATGGTTAGACTTCCTCGGAATGTGAGCAGGAAAGAAGTCAAATTGGTCGATGAAAGCCATCCAACCGGCGATGGTGCTATTGACGGTGTCTTGGGTCTTGTAGATGACCAACGGATTGTTGTCCGTCACCCATAAGAATTGACTTCGGCGAAGGAGGAATTGCCGCCACCGCTTGAGCGCGTGGACGAAGGTGAGGAAGTCCTTGCGTGCATCATCAATGGAGTGCACGACGGGCACTTCCTTGCTAAAGTACTCGACCGGGTGCTAGTCCACTCCATTGTGTTGTTCGAGGACGGCACCAACGCCATAGTCGGACGCATCCGTAACGACGCAAGTAGGCAATAGCGGGTCGTATATGCGCAAGACCTCCACAGATAATAGCGCGGATTTGTAGCGATCGTTCAGTCGGATCGAGATTTGATGATATCCTGACTTCAAATCCAACTTAGAAAAATACTTTGCGCCGCACAATCGCTTAAGAAGTTTGTCGATACGAGGAAGAGGCCCCGCATTCTTGACGGTGTGCCGTTGAGCTTGCGGTAGTCAATGCACAATCGTAGATCCTTGTTCTTCTTTCGCACGAGGAGAACTGGCGTTCCGTATGGAGAGCTACTAGGGCGGATTCAGCCCTTGTCCAACAAATCATCGAGTTGCGAGCGGAGGACCATAAGCTCCTCCTCGCTCATGCGGTAAATGCAACCTTTCGGCGGCACAGCACCGGCCTCAAGTGTGATCTCGTGAGAAATCGGCCGATCCGGCACCACACTTGTAGGTGACTCGAAGATGTCGGCGAACTCGTCAAGCAACCGCACCACACGGGGGTACGAAGACAAATCCGTGGGTGAAGAGTCAGGTACTGCGATGGTCCGTAGGAAACATAGGTCGATTTCGTCAGGCTGCTCGTAAGCACAAGTAGCCCGGGATGACTTGGCCGTTACCACTTGGCATCGAATCGAAAGGTGTGGAAGAGGAATAGTACACCACTTCGGCGCCGAAGGCGTGCGAACGGTAAGAGTCCGCCGATGGAAGTTGACCGTGTGATCCGCACTTGCAAGCCAAGGCATTCCCAAAAGTTCGTGTCCAAAATGTCGAATATCACCGGTTCGCATGCATGAGGAGCGAAATACACCGGTACGGCCTTAATGTAGCGGTCGATAAGTTGCTGCGTCCTTTCGTCCACCAACTTGGTCACCGTCCTTCAAACTTGTGCGCCAAGGCCAGCCTTTTGCATAAAGGCCTGGCTCATAAAATTGTGCGACGCGCCACTATCCAGCAAAGCGCTGCAGGACGCTTGCCCAACTTGGGTGCAGACATGAGGAGCGGTGCGTTGTTGTCGTCGTACCGCTGATTGCGAAACTCGCGGGCCACCTTGGTAACATACGCAAGGATGTCCCCCACCGGGACTTCGTCATCCGTCGGCGGAATTGGTGGTGCATAGAAGGATAAGTACGTGTGAAGATGAGCGCATAGTGCTGCGCATTGAGGTCCCGGCAAGAGGCCCGTGGTCGGGAGAGGAAGCCATGCGAAATCCTCGGATGTGAGCGGGTCCAATACCTCTATGTTGAACTCGCGTGCCGAATCCCGTGAAGAACCACTTGCAGACGGTAAGTCGTCACCATCGGACGGAGAAGATGCCGCACACACGTCTTATCCTTGAGCATGAGTACCCAGTGTAGGAACGAGCTGGGCAGCATAGTCCTCAAAAGAATAAAGAAGAGGACTATCGACTTTCGCATGTGCCTCGAAACGAAGGGCAGTCACCCGCGAAGTGACCGGTTCCGAAGGCGTCGAGAGTGTCGTCGACTTACTTCCGGCGGTGCTCGGTTTCCCGATTTGCCTTTGCCTTTCGATGGGCAGCCCATTATCTCGTGGAGATCGTTGTTACACCACAGACAGTAACAGAATCTTGTGCGTGCCTTGTATGCTTGCTCGGAGAGATCGTAGTGCGACCATGGAGCTGGAGCTGCTGCGTCAGGCCCGGGGCTAGATGCGGTGTTTGGCTTCGTCTTGCCGCGTCCTCGGCCTTTGCCGGGGCGGCCACCATCCCGGGCGGCTATGAGTCTGTCCCCTTCATTGGCAGACACGGCCTCGCTAGTTTGGTCGATTGGCGTTGCCGCCTTGATCACGGCCACTTTCGGCCGATGCCGATCTGTGCTCGGGCCTATAGCAGATGAATGGTGGAGGTTCTTAGCCTCCTTGTTCGTTACCATAATTTGCGCGGCCTTGTCGAAGAGCTCCGCCGGTGTCGTCAGGGTGTTCTCGACGTGAGTCAAGGCATTGCCCAATGTCGGACACGACCTCGAGATGAAGTAGTGTTTGATGGTTTTGAAGCCCATTTGAATGTATGGGACGGATGTCAAGCGTTGGTACTCGACAATCCAGTCAACACTCTTCAGCATGCCTGGTACGAAGACCATCAACTTGTCCATTGCCTTGATCTCCGGCGGCTCTACTTGGAACCGCTTATGCCACACTGCCTTTAGATCATCCCGACTGATCTTGGTGTGCATGTCGGCAGCCACCACTCCGTACTTGGACAGGAGATTGTTGAACCATGCTTGGCACGCGCCTCCCGACTGGGAGTATAAGTATGCGTGGTGCTTGTGTTCGCTGACGTAGTGTAGCTGCAACTTGAGTTCGAACATGCGGAACCACGGAATCGGGTCCGTCTTCGTCGAATCGCAGAAGATCTCTTGATCATCGAACTTTGGAGTTGTCTCGCACGGTTTCGAGCTCGAGTGGGTGGCGGCAGTACAGATTTGCTGCTCCAACTGTTGCGTTGGGGTTTGCTGTAACTGCACGCCGTCCTTGAGGGAGCTGACGTCAATCTCCAATGCCTCGAGGCGATCGGAGGTGTTGGAAGAGCTGGCAATGGGGGCGGCGACGGTTTGTTCCAACTGCTGGAGGCGGCTGTTGACTTGGTCAAACACGTGATTGTGTGTTTGAACCGCGTTGTCGAGGTTGTGGATGTCCTCCTGCTGTGCAATGCACGTGGCCAGGAGGTCCGTGAGATGGGAGAGGAGTAGTAGAGTGATCTTGTTTTCACTCTGTTCCATTTTCCCATTCTCGGCCTCGGCCCGCCAGTCCGCTGCCATTGTGAGCAAGGCTCGCTCTCCGTTGAATATCTTCTCGCGTCGTTGAATTCGTTCTTCATCGACAACCTTTGCTGCTGCCTCGTCTTGCTGGCGCTGCTGTTCAATAGCCAACAGACGCGCCTTCTCGACGGCCTCCACCTTCTTCTTTGTTGTGGCTGCTACTGCATCCGACTGTTGCTTAGCTTCAGAAGCAGCATCCGGGCCTGATAGGCCTCGTCCGTTTCCCCGGGCTTCTGATCCATGCCGACTGTTTGTAAGCGCGTGAGCATAGATCAGGTCGGAGGACCGCTGACGTGGCGCTGCTGTCAGCTGATGTGTCCTGCTGACGTGGTCTGCTGACGTGCCCTGTTGACGTGGCAACTCACCAATGCTGCCGCAGGGTGTACCAGGAGACAGGTAAGAGAAGGTAAGACCAGAGGGGGCAACAACGTATGTCGGGAGGGGTGGGCGGGATAAATCGCGTAGATAAGGAGCCACTAATCAAGAAAGAAAAGTTTGATCTTTGCAAAAAATTTTGACATAAAAAAAAAAAAACCGTTTGCAAGTTCAGTAGGGCTTCCAATTCCCCTTGAAATGAGAAATTGCAATCAGACTCACTTTCTTTCCACTTCGCACACATGCAAACAGATGGAGATTCACACTGGCGCAGGGCGCCCACTCAAAGCTTAGAGATATGCAAATCTAGAAGACAGTTCAGATGCAAGTTCTCTTCAACAGGCCATGGCGCATCAGCGCCGGAACATCCCAACCTTCGTCGCTGTGTCCAACCCCACTGTTCACACACACTCACTCTGGATCACCTTGAATACCACCACACACATACACACTGTCTAACTTCCTCCTACAGCGGCTATGGCCGCACTACCACTATTGACTATGTCTACGATCTCCCTTCAGCCCACTTCGTCTTCAGGCAACCTGCAGACCACCTTTGCACAAGACGCTGTAGCAGCGCTTTCGCATGGCCTGCGCAGCGAATGAATGAATGGCTGGGCGGTGCCTCTTGATTTATACTCCTGTAACTCGTTGGTCTAGCCCTTTCCCAGGCCCTTGGTGCACACAGTCCCACACGGTACTTGCTTGAGTGGACTTTGACTGAGTGGGACAGGTGCCGCTGACTGCATGGGTTTGCACTGCCAACTCGATGCAGTCGCACTGCCAACGTAACGCAATTGGCTCACCACTTGCCCACTTGCCTCGGACTAAAGGCGCACCACTTGCCCACTTGCCTTTGGCTAAACGTGAGACATTTCAAAAGGCCATTTTCAGACCTTCCGGAAGGCTGTGGACTTGGGCTTTCGGGTATTGTAGCAGCTACGACCTTGACCTTTCAGGATTGTAGCTGCTACGACCTTGACTTTCAGAGCATCTACAGCCACGACCTCTACAAAGTTGTGACTCCTAGTTGACAGACCTACAGATCAAACCCCTATTGCTACACAGACCTACGACAGACGACAAACAACTACTTAAACATTATCTGGAGGAATCATAGATTTGCGTGATGGGAACTGTTCACTTGTAACACAAGGTAACAACTTTGACGCATGGAACACTAGGTAGGTGTGGAGGTGTGCTGGGATCTCAATAGTATAGGACGGTCCTGGCCACGGTCCTCTATACGCAGGCAACAACTTTTGTGAGATGTTTTTCTCAGGGGCAAACTCTTTTGACTTGACCCAGACTAAGTCGCCTACTTGAAACTGTGAGGGGCGACGGTGCTTGTTAGCTTGTTCTATCATTCTGTGCTGGGCTTTCCTGAGGTTGTCAACAACGGTACCTCTCTTTCTTTTGCTGTATCGCAAACTCTCGTGTACCGGGCGGTAGCCTCTAAATCTGGTCCCGGTTAAGTCCTTCAAATGGTCTGCGCGGTCTAAAGGACTTGTGCAATTCGTTGGGAGTGTGACACGTAGATAAGATCATATTGTAGGTACTGGCTACCTTTGGGAGCATCTAATACCAATTGATCTGATCGGGTCTAATGTACATTCTAAGAAATTGCTGCAGGAGCTTGTTCATTTGTCTAGTCTGGCCGTTAGTCTCAGAAGGACGACCAAATGACATCAGCAACTTGGAGCCATAAACTTTCATCAGCTCCTGCCAGTTCTGACTAGTGAATGTGGTATCCCTGTCACTAAGGTATACCATGCTCATTGACCCAATGGTCAAAAAACTTTTGAACTACTAAGTTTGTGTGTGCCTCTGCAGGCGAAGGAACAAAAACTGCATACTTGCTAAATCTATCTACTATGACCATGACTTGACTTTTGACATGCCAACTCTTGACTTGAGTATCCATAAAGTCGATGGACACAAAATCTCCGGGTCTGTCAGGAATAGGCAAGGGTCTAAGAAGACAAAGAGGGGCTCGTGTAGTAGTCTTGTTTCGCTGACAGACTTTACAACTGCGGACATACTCTATGCAGTCGGCCTTCATACCAGGCCAGATGTACGAGCACATGAGGTTGGCTAGTGTCTTTTGCCAACCAAAGTGTCCCTCTGTATCATGGCATTCCCCTAAGATCAAACTACGGATCTCTTCACTGTTTGGAACGCACAGGCGGCCAACCACATTAGTCTTCTTGAATAATAAGCCATCAGTACTGCGGTAGTTTGGCTCAGACTCTGGGGCCTCCCTAACTCTCTTGAGGAGATCACTATAGATAGGGTCTTGTGTATATGCCTCTCTCACTTTCTGCTGCAGGTCTCTCCCTATATCCAGACAGTGAACTATTGCCCTAAAGTAATCAGCTCTTCTACTCAGAGCGTCCTTCAGTTCACTGGTCTAACTCCGCGGCCCACCTAGTAAGCGTAGGTGTCATCTTGGCCTGAGTCTTCAGCCACCTTAGAGTCTCGTGGTCTGAATAGACTTTGAAGTGCCTCCCAAGCAAGTAGTGCTTCTAATGATCTAGTGCTTGCCTGAGAGCGTAGAGTCCTCTCTCATAGGTTGATGTCGCCACCTTCTTTGAAGGCATCCTGGCGGACATGAACTTTACTTGCCTATAGTTACAGGATATTCTTTACCTTGGGATTATAGATCTTGTACCCCTAGAATTGTATTGCATTTCAATAGGTGATTGGTACAAATACGATGTTATAGCTTCTATTTTTCTTAATTTTAACCATAAAGAAGTAGAAAGATGAATTCTTCTTTCTACTCTTGCTTTAATGACATCTTCAAAACGCCATACTGACTTGCGTCAGTGGTAACAACGAAAGGCAGGGACGGATCGACTACCTTAAGGATTGGATATTCTATCAGGGCCCGCTTTAACCTTTTCAAGGCAGTTGTACAATCCTTGTCCCACTTCCTGATTGCCTCTTTCTTTAGCAACCTGCGAAGGGGTGCACCGATGGTAGAGAAGTTCCTCACGAACTTCCTATAGTAATTAGCTAGGCCTAAGAACGACCGCACCTCTGTCAGTGTGTGGGTTGTTGGCCAGTCTGTAATGATGCAATCTTACTATTTTCAGGTCTAACGTCGTCTCCGTCTAAGACGTGGCCCAGGTACAAAACCTGTGTCTTGGCCCATTCGCACTTCTTTGCGTTGATCTTGAAGTTAGCCTCTCTAAGTTTCTCCAAGACCTGCCTCAGATGGACCTCATGCTCTTGGAGGGTCTTAGTGAACACTAGAATATCATTTGGATACACTACAACAAATCTATCTAACCACGACCTAAACAAATCGTTCAGGCAGCGCTGGGAAGTCGTTGGCGCATTGGTTAGTCCAAAGGGCATAACTATAAACTCATAGTGCCCATATCTAGTTCGGAATGTTGTCTTATACTGATCATCAGGATGAACCTCCATCTGATGATACGGACTTTAAATCTATCTTCGAAAAATACTTCGCAACCCGGCACCCGGTCTAACAAATCATCTATAAGGGGCAGTGGTTCTGCATTCTTCACTGTGATAGCATTAAGGCCCCTATAGTCTATACACATTCTAAGCTCTCCCTCTTTCTTGGGGACAAAGAGAACAGGTGCTCCAAATGGGGACGAACTGAGCCTAATCCAACCCTTCTCAAGGAGCTCGTCTAATTGCTCACATAGCTCCTCGAACTCCCTTGGGGACATTCTGTAAATTGCTCCCTTAGTAGTCCTACTACCAGGCTCTATCTCTATGCGGTGCTTTATCGGCCGCAGCACTACTCCTGTAGGCGGCTTAACCAGGTCTGTATATTCTTCCAGCAGCTTGGCAATAGCAGGGTCTATGGGTGTCTCCTCCTTAGGCTCAGTGATTGGCCTCACGTAGGCTACAAAAACCTGCTCTTCTAACTTCTCCTCCTTTACTAATCGCGCGAACGTGGGAGCACTGAGGCAGCAATGCGCCAGGGTGTTGTCTACTCCAGACACATGGAACAGGCGAGCAATCTTAACTTCACCTGTGGGACTTGGGAGCCTTCACTCGTGCTCTCTCAAATGGAGTGTGGCGCCTGCTGCCTCCCCCCAGTCCATTCCTAGGCCTATATCAAAAGGGAGACCGTCTTCTACGAGGAGAGTTAGGGAATGGAGGACTTTCTCCACCTGTCCATCTTTCTCTAGGCCTACACTCGTGCTCTCTCAAAAGGAGTGTGGCCCCTGCTGCCTCCCCCACTCGTGCTCTCTCAAATGGAGTGTGGCCCTTGCTGCCTCCCGCCAGTCCATTCCTAGGCCTATATGAAAAGGGAGACTGTCTTCTACGAGGAGAGTCAGGGAATGGAGGACTTTTTCCACCTTCCCATCTTTCTCTAGGCGAAAGTACGCTTGGACTCCCTCGACGTAATCCTCGACTCGCATAGTGCGATTGTCTGCGAGGATATTGACTATAGGGTCTGCTAACTTCTGGACTTTCAGATTCAACTTCAACTTCTGCAGCGCTTTCTTACTGATGTAGCTGCGGGTGGCCCCACTGTCTATAAGGGCCCCTACTCTACCTCTAAAAATCTCTACATCTACTAACACTAGTTGTCCTTTGGCATCCTTCTTCATCTTGGCCCAGGCAGGCATCCTCTCCTTCAACTCTTCAGCCACGCCTGTGAGGGAAGTACCTAGAGAGACTCTTACACAAGCAGTCTTTGGATAGCTGTCTAGGTACTGGCCAGCA